CTTCCCCAAGTGTCATCACCAAGTGTGACAATGGCTGAGACTAGGAGAACTAGACACCCTGGGTCCTAGTTTCAGCTGGGGCCGGGGGCCCTGCCCCAGTGTCAGAGGTCATGCTCACCACACTCTTCACCCCTAGAGGCTGGATCCCTCTGTCCCCAGCCAGAGGTTACTGCTCTGGATTTCAGCGTGTGGTCCTCCGAGGAGGAAAGTTGGCATCTGCTGGAGCCTCTGGCCTCCTTGAGCCACTTTTCTGCCTTGAAACCAGCCTCCGGGCTTGACCCTCCGCCCCTCGCTCAGGGAAGTGTGCGGTGGGTGAGAGCTGGCTCTCGGGAAGAAAGGTGCTGCTAGCTCGGGCTCAGGGCCGTCCTTGTTCTCCGGCCAGGCTGCCCGTGTGGAGTGGGCGCCAGGCTCCCCTGGTTTGAAAAACTGACATTGCGCCGAAGCCAGTTTGGCTCAGTGGATGGAGCGTTGGCCTGCGGACTGAAGGGTCCCAGGTTCGATTCCGGTCAGGGGCATGTACCTTGGTTGCGGGCACATCCCCAGTGGGGGGAGGGGGTGTGCAGGAGGCAGCTGGTCGATGTTTCTCTCTCATCGATGTTTCTATCTCTCTCCCTTCCTCTCTGTAGAAAAATCAATAAAACTATATAAAAGGGAAATTAAAAAGAAAAACGATGATGCTCACGGTGGGCTTGTTGCCTGAAGTGCCCACGGAGCAGAGGTGGGAGTGGCAGACCCAGGGGGCAGCTACAGTCCCCCTACCCCCGCTTGGTTTTGCATTTGGCACTGCTGGTAAGGAAGGACCTCGTGGGCCTCGGGCCTCAAGCATCCTTCCATTGAGGTAGAGGAGGAGGTTCGGAGAGAGCAGAACACTTCCTGTAGTCAAGGCAGAGAAGGGGCTGTGCCTGGAGTCCCGGTGCCCCTGTCAGCGTGGCCAAGAGGGCCAGGGGGGGGGCACAGAGGGCATTAACTACAAAGACGCCAGCCCCGGGAAAGGTCCCTTCTGAGGAGGGGCCGGGGTTGGGGCCCCCTGGCCTCTCCTGTTGAGAAGGCAGGGGAAGGGTTAACTCGCTGCAGGGTGGGAGTGGGCCACTGGGCACCAGCTCTCCATCAGCACCTCCCCGCACTGGAGCAGGCAAGTCTCCCGCCTCCCACCCCTCGGAAGGTGCTGCCGCCTGGCCAGCAGGAAGGGGTTAACCCGCCTGCGCTGCCTCCTGTGTCCTGTTACTGCTGAGGCAGACCTGCCCGGCCAGCTGAGCAACTTTCCTCCCGGCCGGCGGGCGCCCAGGAGACCAGCGGACCAGGGGCAGAGCTGCAGCCCATTCTGGGGACCCTGCCGCGCCCCCTGCCCTTCCGAGGGGTCTGCACCTCCTGGGAGAGGGTGGGGCTCCGGGGCGAGGGTCCGTGGTGGATGGCTCTGGGGGCGCCCCTGAAGCCGTGCCGTCCCCCGCCCTGCAGCTTGGAGGGTCACTGCAGAGGCTGCTTGTGGTCCCGGGGCGGGGACCCGCGGAGCCGGCACCAGAGGTAAGCGGCCCCTTCCTGGCAACGGGGTGTCCTCATGGGAGGTTCAGGGCTTAGTCTCCTTCCCAGGTTGCGGGGAGAGGGGTGAGAAGGGCAGGGCGGTGGAGTGGGCCTCCGGTGGCTCTCCTGCCTGCAGCCCCTCTCTCCCTGCTGCCCCCAGGAAGGAGGCTGAGGGAGGGGGGGCTTGTGCCCCATCCTGGGACTAGCATCTTTGGTGGCATTCCCATAGAGATTCCTGCTCCTCTCCACCAACCCCTTCTCCTCAGCCCCGATGCACCTTCAGGCTCAGGGCATCCTCTACCCAACTCCAGTGCCCCAGGTACCTAAGCTTAGAGCCAGAGGGCACTCCCCTGTCCCTCCAGCAGCAAGAGTCAGGGCACTGCCACTCCCCCCACTGCGCCCGCTGGAGCTGATGGGGGCAGGGGCCAGAGTCTGCCTGAGCAGAGGGGGGAGGGGTGTGCCCTGGTGGGGCACCCCACAGACTTTGGAAAAACTCTAGACATCTGGGTTCTTTCCATCTCCCCGAACCCTCACTCTGGGGATACCAGCGGCTCCCCAGTCCTGACAGGTCCCCCAGTCCTCTGGGCCTTGGGAACAGCAGCCCCCTCCCCACTATAACATTCTCCTTGGGACCCTACTAGAGGTGACACCTGCCCCCTTCCCCACGCTGGTCCCACCCCCAGCTGGCCCTTGGTGCCCCCCGACCCCCGCCTAGTGGATTTCTCCCTCCTCCCCTGCCCTCCTGCCCTCTCCCCTGTCTCTGAGTTGGCCTCTCAGGCCTGGCCTTCTCAGTGTCCTTCCCTCCACCTGACAGGGTCTGGCTCAAGGTCACTGCAGTAATTCCATACCGGGCTGCCCGGCCGCCACTGCCGCCGCTGCTGCCGCCTTATCGGCTGCTGGGTTTCTGTTTCACTCCCTTTTATTTCTGGGCATATTGTGTTCGATAAAACTCTTTGCTTGTAACACCGCTGGCAGCGCTCCCGGCCGCTCCCTCCCGCGTTCCTTCCTCTCCTCCGCCCTCCCCTCCGCACTCCCGGCCTCACCCTGCCCCCTTCTTCCTCCCTACCTGGCTGCCTCCGGCCTGCAGGTGTTTCCAACCCTCCCTCCCCCCAGCTCGGGCAGAGAGGGCTCCTCTGTGCCCACCTCCCTGGAGAAAAGCCCAGGCAGGGCTGCAGGGCCCACCCCGAGGGCCCCTCCCGCCACCCCAGGCGGCCGGAGGGCCGGGCAGAGCTCCCCCTGGAGCCAGGATGCCTGACTGGTTCTGCTGGTTTCAGCGGCGGCTCCGGGAGGGGCACGCACTCAGGGCGGGCTCTGGGGCACAATTATTTCTCATCTTGGCTCTTGTCACCTGCCAGCCCACCGGTTGGAGAGGTAAAGACGGGTCTGAGTCACCAGTGAGGGGGAGGGCGGGAGTTAAACAAGTGCTGGCCGGCGGCATCCCCTCAGAAGGCCGGCCGGACAGAAAGACAGCGGACAGAAGGTAGGCAGTGCTTCCAGGGGGCGCTCCCCACCCTTCCGGGTCCCCCGTGGGACCCCGGCGTTTGGGCAAAGCTCTCCCAGGCCCCTGGGCCCTGGAGAAAACTACGGAGGCCTGCGGGCCCCTTTGAAAGGAGCCCAGTGTTGGCAGGACTGGGTGGAGGGAGAACTGAATTTAGGGGTGAGGCGGGGGGGTGTAGAACAAACTCCTTCTGACTCCCGCTGAGTCCCAAGGCAGAGCTGAGAGGTGCAGCTCTGTGGGTGCTGGTATCGGTGGGGGTTCATTGGTGAAGTGGAGGCTCTGCAGGTCCAGGCAGCCTGTGTGTGTGTGTGTGTGTGTGTGTGTGTGTGTGCCCATGCCCGTGTGTATACACACGTACAGAGTATGGTGCTGGCAGGAGGACTCTGGTTTGGGTTTCTGGCAGGGCCGTGGGAGAACATTTGTCTGACTTGGGCCTGGGCTTGCTCTCAGCACATGGCCTGGCCCCGTGGCTGCGGGGAGGGAGGGCATAGGGTGGCCCTGATCCCCCTGCGGCTGGGGTATCAGAGTTCTGCCCTGGGCCCTGGGCTTTGGGGCTCTGGGGAGCCCAGACTGGCCTTGACTTCAGGGAGCTTCCTTTCTAGCTGAGAAGGTGGGGCGGAGACAGTGGAGCAATCCTCTGAGTTAATTACAAAAGTGGTGACACTGACAGTAAACACTGGAGTAGACTTTTGGAGGCCTCGGTGCCGGTGCCGGTGCCACTGCCACCCACATGCTGTGTGGCTGTGGGCAGGCCACGGCCCCGCTCTGGCTCCGTGCTCCTGTGTGCACAGTGTGGGTGGCGGCGGCTAAACCCTTTGAGAGGCAGCCTCTCCCAATGCTCCTTCCGCCCTCAGTGGCCCGGCTCGGCTCCCGGTATTCCCTCTGAGCCGCCCCTCCCCCACGCCCACCTTGCTGGCTCCCTCTTCCTCTCCTTGGCTTCCGATCTCTGGTCTCAGCTAACCGTCACCTCCTCTGGGGAGTCTCCCCTGATTTCCCTGTGCTCCTCTGCACTCCCACGCCGGGCTGTGATTGTCTGTAGCCTCTCCATTGGGCTTAGGTGCACCAGCACGAGAGCCCTGTGTCTGGCTCAGAAGGCCCCAGGAAAGAGTATTAAATGAATCCAGCTACAAAATTAACAGTGCGAGGAGAGAAGAGTGAGGACGGAGAAGTTGGGAAGGATAGGTCTTAAGCTAGATCCTGGCAGAAAGGGGAAGAGGGACCCAAGCAGAAGCTAGGCGAGCAGGCATTCCTGGGGGGTCACTGTCATGTCCCCCAGGAAGGGTAAGGACTGGGCTGTGTCTGCCGGGCTTTGTCCTAACTCCCCACTTATGAGCTCTGTGATCTTGGACAAGTCAATTAATTCGCTGGAAGCCTCATTTCTCCCCTCTGTGAATGGAGATAATAATAATAATAGCGTCTTGTTGTGTGGGGGTGAAGAGAAATGTGCATGCAAAGCTAGAAGTGCCTGCTAAATCATAACTAAAATAAGAAACATGCCCTAACCGGTTTGGCTCAGTGGATAGAGCGTCGGCCTGCGGACTCAAGGGTCCCAAGTTCGGTTCCGGTCAAGGGCATGTGCCTTGGTTGTGGGGGCTGTGCAGGAGGCAGCTGATGGATCTTTCTCTCTCATCAGTGTTTCTAACTCTCCCTCTCCCTTCCTCTCTGTAAAAAAAAAAAAAAAAAAAAAAAATCAATAAAGTATTGAAAAAAAGCACGTAACAAATGCCCGCTGAAGGCTGTTCCTGGCCGCGGGGTCACCCTGCACAGGCCCTCAGGGGGTGACTGTGCGGCCAGCGGGGCGGGCCACCGCCCCCGGGCTGCCAACCCCCTCTTCTTCCTCAGACCCATGTGGAACCCAAGGACGCAGCCGCCCTGCTGAGCGCACGGCGGCCCCTCCCCGGAAACCGTGACCTCGCGACGGCGGTGGCCCTCGGCCCTCCACCCCCGGCTGGGGCGGGGGGCGCCCCTCTCCACGTCCCCAGCCATGACGACCTCGGCGCTGCGGCGCCAGGTGAAGAACATCGTGCACAACTACTCGGAGGCGGAGATCAAGGTGCGCGAGGCCACCAGCAATGACCCCTGGGGCCCGCCCAGCTCGCTCATGTCCGAGATCGCCGACCTGACCTTCAACACGGTGGCCTTCGCCGAGGTCATGGGCATGCTGTGGCGCCGGCTCAACGACAGCGGCAAGAACTGGCGGCACGTGTACAAGGCGCTGACGCTGCTGGACTACCTGCTGAAGACGGGCTCGGAGCGGGTGGCCCACCAGTGCCGGGAGAACCTCTTCACCATCCAGACGCTGAAGGACTTCCAGTACATCGACCGCGACGGCAAGGACCAGGGCGTGAACGTGCGCGAGAAGGTCAAGCAGGTGATGGCGCTGCTCAAGGACGAGGAGCGCCTGCGGCAGGAGCGGACCCACGCCCTCAAGACCAAGGAGCGCATGGCGCTGGAGGGCATGGCCCTGGGCAGCGGGCAGCTGGGCTTCAGCCGCCGCCAGGGCGAGGACTACGGCCGCGCCAGGGGCTCCCCGTCCTCCTACGATTGTGAGTGGGCCTTGGGTGCACGGCTGGGGACAGAGAGGTGTCTGAGTTCCCGTCCTGGCCCTAGGGCGGCAGGGGGATGTCGTGAGGATTCGGTGAGATAAGGGGAGTCAAGTGTGAGGCCAAATGCATTGCAAATAGTATGTGCTCAGCAAGCCAGGGTAGACGGTAACATCGGTATGCATTTGTTATTGTTGGCCCCCTGTCTGGTAGGACAGGTGTGGGGTCCGGTAGCATCCCTCCCCCTGCCCCTTCCAGGCTGTGTGGTCTGGACAACCAGCTCTCTGAACCTCAGCGACCTCGTCCATCAAATAGGGGTCATCTTAGCTATCTTAATTGTTGGATTGGAGAATGAATGAGAACAGGCCCAGGAAAGCCCTCAGCCCTTCACCCAGACACATGGCACCCCGTACTCCATCGGTGGCATTCCCCATCACCCCCACCCCCCGACTCAAGGGCCCTGTCCTTGAAAATGGGGGTGGCTGATGCACGGCTCCTGACCCTCCTCTGCCTCCTGGTGGGGGTTTCCCTGGTCTGAGATTTACTCAGAGTGGCCCTCCTTCCATAAAGCCCCCGGCTCTGTGCTGTGGGCTCTGACAGCTGTGACCTTGGTTGGAGCATCTCACCTGCCCACCGCACTTGACCTCAGGCTGGATGGGACCCAACTGGCTGAGTCGGTGGATCTGGGTTCAAGTCTTGCTGCAGGACTCTGACCCCTTGGGGGAGGGTCAGAGCTGCTGGGGGTCTGTAGAGGAGGAACTGGAATCTTTATGGGCTGGGTAGGAAACCTTACAGAAGGGGCCCTGGCATGCCTGCTCTTCTCTCTCCCCCATGTCCCTCTCTGAGTCTTCCTCTCTGGAGGGAAAGGGGTGTGGGAGCCCACGGGCACCTGTGTGGTCACAGAAGCCATGACGGTCATTGCAGCTTCCTCCTCATCCCCCCGCTACACCTCAGACCTGGAGCAGGCGCGGCCCCAGACGTCGGGAGAAGAGGAGCTGCAGCTGCAGTTGGCTCTGGCCATGAGCCGCGAGGAGGCGGAGAAGGTAAGCCCCCACCCCCAACCTCCCTCGGTAGCCCAGGGGGCCCCACAGCTGGGCTGAGGGTGGCATGCGGAGGGAGCTGGGGAGGAAGGAGAGGTGCCTGCATCCCCACACCCTGGCTCTTAGGCTACCCTACTCTGGGCCCCAAAGCGCTCGTCCTGCTCCCAAGGACAGTGAGGGGCCCCGTCTGTCCCTGGGATTGTCCCTGCAGGGCCACTGTCTAGCTCCCATCCCCTCTGGCTGGGCCTGGGAAGGATAGTGAGTGTGTCATGGGCTGGGAGTAGGTGAGTGTGGCACGGGCCTGCGCCGGCCGCCTCATAGAGGAAAAGGGGGTGTGTTTGCTGACACACACATTCCCGGGAGACACAGAGACATGCTACCACCAGCACTACCCCCGCCATCAGCTAACCTTTGGGGGGGGAGGGACAGCCCCCCTGCCCCCTTCCTCTCTGCCGTCACCTCTGTGGGTCCAGGTAGACCAGGCAGGAGCAGGGCCCGCGGAGACTCAGGGGACCCAGGAGAAAAGGACTGAGCTTTCTCCACGAGGGGAAGGCCCCGGGGGGGGGGGGGGGCGTCTCTCTCCATCTCCTGCCCTGGGCGGAGCTACATCGCCTTTGGGCCCAGGAGTGGGAGGGCTGGGCCAAGTTCACCTTCTTCTTCCTCCCTGGCAGCCAGTCCCCCCAACCTCCCTCAGGGACGAGGACCTGCAGCTGCAGCTGGCCCTTCGCCTGAGCCGGCAGGAGCACCAGAAGGTAGTGGCGGAGCCTCCTGTGCTGGTGCTGGTGCTGGTGCTGGTGGAGGTGCTTAGGGGCACTAACCAGGCTCCTCCCGCTTCACCTGGTGGTCCGCGGTGCTAACCTCTCAGCTGCCTCCCATCCTGCACTTTTCTCCACGCAGCTCAGGTCCCCTCACGTCCAGCCCGAGCTGCCCGTGCCCTCCTCACTCCTTCTGTGCCTTCTGCAGGAGGTGAGGTCCTGGCGGGCAGGGGACTCCCCTATGGCCAATGGCGCCGGGGCTGCAGCCCACCGTCGGAGGGAAAGAGAGCCCGAGAGAGAAGAGAAGAAGGAGGAAGAGAAGCTGAAAACCAGCCAGGTAGGGAGGATGCTGGAGTGCGTGGGCTGGCAAGAGCCTGGGAGATAAACTGAGTTCATATCTGCCAAGAGTACAGAACCGTGCTGGGTAGACAGTAAGCACTACCTAAGTGTTTATTCAATGAAATGGGGGTGGAGGGGGTGCTGCAGTCCCGGGTCAGGTCCCATACTGCATAGGCTGGTGGCCAAGTTGTTGGCAAAGGGATGCAAAGAACCCTGACCAGAGACCCCGTGACCTGTGTTCTGGATTTGTTTCCACCTTATGGCTGGGTCACGTCGTTGTCTTGGCCTCAGTTTCCCCATCTATATAGTGGGCTTGTTGGATAGTTCCAGCTCTGACAGGCTAGGATGATGTGAGGTGTGGATCAAGGCTGGGGATGGACTCAGGCATACGGGCTCACGGGCATATTTTTCAAGAGGAGGAAGTGGGTAGCTGCTGGAGACAAGAACACCCTCCGAAGCTGTCCACGCTGCCCCCCGGGGTGTCTCTGCCCCTTTTCTGCTGGCTCTGCGTGCTCACTGTGGCCAGTTCCTCTCGGGCACTTAGGGGGGGTAAGCTAGTCATGTGACCAGTCCTACCACTGATGGGCTGAGGAGCAAGCAGAACAGTTGAGGAAGGGTCAGACAGGCCTGGGTTCTAGCCCAGCTCTGTCTCTCCCTGGCTGTATGACTTCAGGCAGATTGTTCCCTCTCTCTGGGACTCAGCCAGCTCATCTGTGAAATGGGCACAGCACCACCTCCTGTGCCTATTGCACAGGTTGTTGGGAAAGCCAGGCACCAAATGGATGAGGAAACGAACCGAGAAGCACTGCGCAGGGGCGAGGGGTCATTGCTAGGTGTTTAGGGAACGGATGGAGAGGAGGAACTGGAGTCAGAAAGGCAGGTCGGGCCTGCCCTCCTGTGGGCCCGCCCTCCTCTGAGCCACGGCTGCCTCTCCTCTCCACAGTCCTCCATTCTGGACTTGGCAGACATCTTCGCACCCACCCCTGCCCCACCTTCCACACACTGCTCCGCCGACCCGTGGGACATCCCAGGTAGGCATGCGGGCTGGCCCCAGAGAACCCCTTCCTTCCTGGGACCCCCTTTCCCACAGCTGAGGGCCCCCGGGACAAGCCACCTCTGTCTCTGAGCCTCAGCTTCCTCTGTGGCATGGTGTCATAGCGAGGAAGGGGGAGCACATCAGAAGAACCCAGATCCTGGGACATGATCCCAGAAATGTGCTCCTGTTGCCCTGGCTTCCTGTCCCAGCCAGTCCCTGACTAGGATGTGGCCTGAGCTGCCCCCGAGTCCAGGCGCCTGGGATAGCTTACTAGATTTGGGCTCCAGCTTGCTGGGTGGTTCTGAGTCAGCACCCCGAATCTATGAAATGGATCCCTTAGCCTCGAAACTTGGACCAGGTAACCGGGAAGGCCCAGGGGGAGCCTGGGATCACGTCTGTGCTGTTCCCATTTCAGGTATCAGGTCCAACCCAGAGCCCAGCGGCTCCTCCTGGGGGCCTTCAGTGGACCCCTGGTCTCCGGCCCCCGCTGGAAGCACCCTGTCCCGCAGCCAGCCCTGGGACCTGCCCCCTACGCTGTCCTCCTCTGAGCCCTGGGGCCGGACCCCAGTGCTGCCTGCTGGAGCCCCCACTACCGACCCCTGGACACAGAACTCCTCCCCCAGCAAACCCCCCAACACTGGGGCTGACCCCTGGGGGGCCTTGGTGGAAACGCCCAGCACACCTGGTAAGTGAAGGGCCGGAGGGCACGGGTGAGGGGCTGGAGGACGTCTGGGTCCCTGCTCTCCAGGCCACGGGGCAGCAGGTCCGTCCGTTAGGAGGGGTGATTGCCTGGAAAGAGGTCAGTCTAGTGCCTGCCCCCTTTGCCAACCCATCTCATCTCCCTTTCCCTTCTGGGCTAGCTCTAGGTGGCACCTCGGTCTTTGACCCATTTGCCAAACCTCCAGGATCCACAGAGACCAAGGAGGGGCTGGAGGGTGCCCAGGCCCTGCCCTCGGGGAAACCCAGCAGTCCCGTGGGTAAGCAGGAGGCAGGGGGGTGACACAGCTCTGGGGACTGAGGGGCCTGCCCAGAGCTGGCCGCTGCCCTCTTCCTCCTGCAGAGTGAGCAGCCCCTCTCCCGGCCATTTGTATTCCAGAGCTGGACCTGTTTGGAGACCCCATCCCCAGTTCCAAGCAGAATGGCACCAAGGAGCCAGATGCCTTTGACCTGGGCATCGTGGGGGAAGCCCTCACCCAGCCCAGCAAGGAGGCCCGAGCTCGCACACCGGAGTCCTTCCTGGGTCCCTCAGCCTCCTCGTTGGTCAACCTTGACTCCTTAGTCAAGACACCCCAGGCTGCAAAGACCCGGAACCCCTTCCTGACAGGTACAGCACCCCTGCGCCCCTCCTTTCAGAGCCCAGCGCTTGCCCTGGAATCTCACTCTTCTTCCTTATTTCTAAAACCCTAGATCTTGCCCCCCTCCTATTTTAGGGCTGTACCCAAGCCCACTCCAATCCCCCCCTTCCCCTCTCGTTCTGCAGATCTCAGCGCTCCATCCCCCACCAACCCATTTGGTGCAGGCGAGCCGGGCAGGCCCACCCTGAACCAGATGCGCACCGGGTCGCCGGCGCTGGGCCTGGCGGCCGGCAGGCCCCTGGGGACGCCCTTGAGCTCCATGACCTACAGCACCTCCCTGCCGCTCCCCCTCAGCAGCGTGCCGGCCGGGGTGACCCTCCCCGCCTCCGTCAGCGTCTTCCCGCGGGCCGGGGCCTTCACGCCGCCGCCCGCCAGCCTGCCGCCGCCGCTGCTGCCCGCGTTGGACTCGGCAGGGCCGCTCCTCCCCATCCCCGCCCCGCAGGCCGGCACCAACCCCTTCCTCTGAGCACCGGACTGCCGACCTGCTCCCCAGATTTTGGGGCCAGGCTAGGATCTGCTGGGGAAGCCCGGACCGGCCGAGACTCCACCCCGAGGCCAGGGCACCCTGAGGCCAGGGCGACCCAGGTCCTTGGGAGGTTCTGGAGCGGGAGACTGAAGACTGCTCGGGCCGAGACCACGTCCCCGCAATAAAGACTGGACCCCAGGGTCTCGGCTCTCACCACGTGGACTCTCTGCGGGACGCGGCGGCCGGGTCTGGACCACACCGCACATCCCCGGCTGCTGTGGGAATCGCTCCCCCGTGGGACTCAAACACGCTCCCCCGCCCTGCAGAGCCCCCTCCGCCTGGCACGTTGGCTCCCAGATGGAGCTCCCTCAGCGCTCCCTCACTGGATCATCTTCATTCATTGGTCACACACAGGCGCTGGGGTGATGGAATAGCCAGGAACCCATGTATTACACACCCACGTGCTAAGCACTTTAGACAGGTTACTTCCTTTAATTCCTGCCACCGCCCTCTGGAGTAGGTAACGTGACTCCCCTTCGGAACTAGCTCCGTGACTTGTGGGGCCCAGCCCAAGAGGGAAACGCAGGGCCCCTTGCTCAGCACTGGATTTAAGAATGTCAAAATGCGGACAGCAGAGCATGAAGCCAAGTGCAAAACCCATTTTATAGGGGGGGAGACTGAGGCTCAATGTCACAATGCTAGCACAGAGCGGGGCTGGGACTCCGCGTCAGACAGTTTGGCTCCACTGGCTTGAAGGTCCCAGGCCGCACAGCGGGCTTAATTGGCAATACTGACCGACTGTCGCAAACCAAGTGCTGGCTTGACTGTGAAGAAACCACGAAGCATCACACCAAGCCCACAGCCTCCCCAAGCTCCAAACCCAGCGGGGGGGCAGGCGAGCCAGGTACAGGGGCCCTCAGCTCCTGGGTTTCACTGAGTCGCCTTCAATCTGGCGCTCCCCCTCCCCCCCCTTTCCCAGGGCTGGCAATGAACTCCACCTCAGCCATGCAGAGGGAGCCTGAGGCTTATGTGGGATCTGGGAAACCAAGGCGGGGGATGAGGAGGGGTGTGTGTTACCTCATCCTGGGGAGCACCCTGGTCACCCTCCCTCCTTTTCTACTCGATGCTCTCCAAGCACTGGACCACCAGGCACTGATGTGTCCTTAGTGCTCAGGGCCTGGCCCTGCAGGCAGCCTGCTGCCAGCCCCACCCCCTTTGGGGGGCAGGGAGAAAATAGCCTTCCACTGGCCGGAAACGCCAAAGCTGGGGTTTCGGGAGCCACCTAGTGCTGCTCTCCTCCCGAAGGCCGGGGTGGGGGAAGGCGCTGCGTTCTGTGGAGCAGGGAGTCCCACCCTGGCTGTGACAGGCAACATGGACCAGAGCACCTACGTAGGAGTCAGACTGACAGGAGTTCAAAGCTCTGCTCCGAGATTTGCACACAGTGACACTAACACCATAATCACTCGGTAATAAGTGGTTATGCTCCCTGGCCTCAAGTAAAGTGCATAACCTCACTGCCTCTGCCTCCGTTTCCTTGTCACATGGGAACAAGAGTTCCTTCCTAATGAGGTCGCTAGGTGGCTCCTCCCAGGCCGCTGTCCATGTGGCCCGTGGTTCACCCTCTTCAGAGACTAACCAGGCAGATTAACCTGCCATCCCCATATTCCTGGGTTGCCAGGCAGTGCGAATCCAGCCCCCATCTGTCTTGTGCCTCCCCCCGCCACACACACACACAGGTGGTCTCCATCCTTGGTCACCGATCACCCTTCACCCCTCCCCTACTCAGGCTCTTTTCAACTGGCTATCTCGGGAACACTGCTTCCCTGACCCTCTCCCTCCTCAAGCCAACATGTGCTGTTTCGATTCCCATGAAGAAGAGGTGGGGACCCTTGCTCTCCATAGCTGCTTCCAGACCATCTTCCTCCTGGAAGACCCCTCCTTCCTTGAAGGTTGGGAACACTGGGCTGTCCCTGCCTCCTCCCACCACCACCCCAAGGGCCGCGTCCCACCTCATTCTTGCCATGCTTCAGTCTTGGCTCACTGCCTTCTACTCACCCAGGTCTTGCTAAATCCCTGGTGACTCTATTGTCCAAGAGGATGACCTTGCATCTCCATGACATCTCAGCAACCCTCACCAGTGGTCACACCTTGGAGGTGGATGTCACCTCGGGTTCTTCCACAGTCACAGCAAGCTCCCTGTTCTCTGACTTTGCCCTCATGTCTCCCAGGGACACTTTCCAGATTGCCAACCCTGTTGTCATTCCAGAGATTCCTCTCCTCCGTATCATCAGCTGCCTTCTCTAAACCGAATCCTTGCCCTTGGCATTGGTCATAAGTAGCCTCATCCATCTTGAAGGTGTCTTTCCTATCAGGTGTCCATACTCTCTGCGTCCCCTTCCTTTCCCCTGCCCCCTCACCCACTCTGCCAGCCTCTGCTGTGAGTCTCACCTCGCTGGAGCAGCGTCGGCCAGGCCTGCCAATGGCCATGTTGTTAAAGCCAGTGGACCTTTTTGTGTCCCATCCCAGTTGGCTTCTCTGGAGTCTGACCACCTGGACCCCCTCTCCTTGCAACTCTCCGTCCCATTGTCTCTGGGGTGCCACCCTGTCCTGGTTTGCCCTTGACATTGTGGCCATTTCCTCTCTTGTCGTTCCTGGATGCACTCCTGAGTTCCCTAGCCAGACCCAAGCCCCCTTCCCTTCTCTCACCACAGTCTGCCCGGATGATCTCTCCTGTGCCTGCATCGTCTCCACGCCAAACACCCAGATTCCTCTCTCCCACCCCCCTCTCCTCTGCAATCCAGAGCCTTGTCACGTCCACCTATATGTCTCAAAGGCTCCTCAAGCCAACACGTGCAGAATTGACCTCAGCCATCCCCACCGAAGCCTCTCCCTGGACCGCCTCATCAGCACACGGACCCAGCACAAGCCCCGCTCTGCAAAGCACTCCTGACATCCCCTTCCGTCTTCACCTCCACCTCTGCAGCCCTCCACCCTCTCCTCTGGTCCTGCTCGGGCCTCCTAGCCTCTCCTGCTGCTGCTCCTGCCCCCTTTCCAGGCCATTCCTCCTTGGGAAGTCAGAGGGAGCTTTCCACAAGGCCCTTCAGCAGCTTTCTTCTGCTCCCCTCAACCACAAAATCCCCTCTCCCAGTTCAGGAGTCCCACAAAGGCGTGGGCCCTCCCCTCCCCTCCCCTGAACCTCAATCTCATCTTCTGCCCTCTTCCCTGTGGTCTGGACCGCTGCCAGGCTGGCCTCCTATAGTTCTTCAGCCATGACTCACACTGCCCTGCCCCAGGGCCTTTGCATATCTCCTCTTCCTGCTCCCCCAGTCATCTGCAGATTTCACCCTCTTGTTCTTTGATGGCTGCTACACACACACGATTTCCTCAGGGAAGCCTTCCCCCCTTGCCTCTCCCCCCAGACCAGGTTCCTTGTTATACTTAGTCATGGTCCTTCTCGTGGTGGGTGGTTGTACCTTCATTTGTATGACTTTCAGATCAGCTTCTACCTCCCTCATCAGACTGCACAACACAAGGGCAGGGGCCTAGTCTCTCTCTGCCATGGCTGTAACTAGCAGAGTGTCTAGTAGGTGGGGTAAGGGTTGTGGTGGTGGGCACTTAATAAATATTGGCAGAACATAGCAAACGAGACAAGTGTGTAAAGTGTATGATGGGACATAAAGTGGGTTCGTCATTATTGGTCAGGGAAGGCTTCCTGGAGTGGGTGCGATTTGAGCTGGGCCTCGATATGGAGAGGCGACGCAGAGGCAAAGCTCACTGGCTGGATGGGCCGGGACACCCCCTATCTTCCGCTCCGGCCTCCTTTCTCACCTGTAAAAAGGGCACGGGTTGACATGCCACGGCCTTGGCATCCTCGCAATCCCCATGTTCTCCTCAGGAGGGTGATCCTCCCTCAGACAGCTGATGGAGGTCTAGCTGAGTCCACCCAAGTTTGGGCGCAAACCCAGGTGCTCCCAATCCCAGGGTGTCCTGTACGGAATCCCGCGCTCGGCCACCAGGAGGCGCTCTGAGACCAGTCACCGCCCCGAGTGTTGGCTGCGACTAACCCGCGATGAGGTCGCTGCCCGGGCCCGCCCCTTGCGGCCTCCAGACCTCCCTCCTCCCTCCCTACTCCCTCCCTCCCTCCCGGTCCGGTCTGCAGCGCACACACGGGCCCAACACCCGGAACGGCCATGCTGGAAACGCGAACTTGGTGGTGCCGCAGCCTCCTGCTGCTGCGCGCCAGACCCTGCCTCGCCTCAAGCTGCAGGTACAGGCGGGGCGAGTGGGTCGCTGCTGCGTGCCCTGTGCCTGTGGGCCCCAGGTCCAGGCACCCCGGGTGGGCGGGCGGGCGCTGGTACTCAGTGCATGCTTGGCCAGCCCCTCACGCCTGACGCCAACCCCCTCTGCAGCCCCCAGCTGGCGCCCTGGGCCTGGCCCTGGCAGTAGCGTCCTCCCGCCCTCTTCCCCTCCAAGCCCCTGCCCTCCAGCTGCAGGGCTAGTTCCCCCCCCCCACTCTGTTCTGACCCCTCCTCCAGGAAGCCTTCCTTGGACCCCAATGCTAGGCCAGGGTCCTTGTGTGACAGTGCCTCTTATTGGTGCGGAGGCCTGCCATGAACTAGGCTACCCCACAGCACCGCCCTCCCAGCCTGAGCCCCCCTGAAACCAGGGTCAGTGTCTGAGTTACCAGGGTCCTGGCAGATGGGTACAGGACCTGGCCCCGCAGAAGTGCCAAATGAGTGGATGTTGAGTGGGTGAGCGCTCTCTCCTCTCCTTGCCCCTAACCTGTTCCAGCCCCAGACTCGGCGCTCTCGCCCCGCCCGTCCAGCCACCGGCCACGGGCGGCCCTTCCGCCCGGAACCCCACACCAGGCATGCCAGGGAGACGCCTCCAGAACCATCATCTTGGGGAGGGGGCCCGGCCAGGGGGAGAGAATGGAGCCTGAACAACCATTCTGCCCATTGTGACTTGCCCTGACCTCACAGTCACCATCCTTCCCACCG